CTCGTTGCATTCGTTCTGTTCGAACTCTTTCTTTTTGGAGTTTTTCAACCATTGGATTGCGTTCCGTGTTCTGCCAGTGGGTCAAAATTTTTTTTGTTTTTTGTTTTTCTTCCAACAATTCTCGTTTGAAGTCGTCCATCAACTTTTTCTTTTCTCTTTCGTTTTCTTCCAGAGTGGTTTTGAGAAAATTTTCGCTTCGTTCTAATACCAGCATCTTCTCTTGGAGTGAATGGAAAGCAAGCTCCTTATTCTTGAGTTGATTGGTAAGATTTTCAATTTCTCGTTGAAGTAGGCTGTCTCGAGCCACATCCGTACTTCTGTTGTTGGGCTTGTTTGAGTCATTATTGGTCTCCTTAAATAAAGAAATTTGCATTCTCATTTGATCGTTCATTTCCTCTAAATCTCGTATTCTTTTTCTAGATTCATGTAATTCACTTTTCACAATATCAAGAGAATGTTGATATTGTTTGATCGTCTCCTCTAAATGAGATGTGTCACTGTGCTTTTTCATCATTTCAGCCAATTTTTCCTTTTCCAGTTCCAACTTTCTTTTTTCTTCTTCGAATTTTTGGATCTTGGCAATATTCTCCCTCTCTAAATTTGCTCTCATGAGCGACATTTCAGACTTCATGTCAATAGCAGTTTGTGACGCAAGAACATCCAGTCTTCTGGCTTTGTCATCGAGCTCTGCTTTTTTCATTTCCAATAATTGTCTCTCTCTAGCGATGGCTTGATTTTTTCTTTGAATTTCTTCCATTTCTTTGAACATTTTCTGTCTGTGCTCGTAAGATAGCCTTTCAATTTCTTTTCCTTCTTTTCGAGGCGATCCGAAATTTCTCGTTCTCTTTCTGTGGCTCTCTCCATTTTTCTCATGTGTGCCTTTTCCATTTCTTCAAGCTCTCTGGCCAATCGTTCTCGGTATTTTGCGCTCTCTTCCAATCGCATCGCGCTTATGGTGGTTTCTTCAAACATTTTCAGACGAGCTTTTAATTCTTCATTTGCTCTTCTTTCGCATTCCCGTTGATACTCTAAATACTTTTGTTCAAGAGTCTGTGATTGATTCCTTTTGTCGTTCTCCATTTCTGCTTCATATTCTGCGTCAATCATTTTTAATTTGGTTTCCATTGGAAACTCTTCCTTTTCCTCTGTTTGACATGATTCATTCCTAGTTTTTCGATTTGCAATTTGTTTAAGTATTGTCAAAAATTTAACGAGTGCACTTTCAGCCTTCCAAGACTGACTATAATACATTTCCGAAAGTGTTTTAGTTAGAAAATTGTTGGGATCCTGATCCATGATATCAACAATATCATTTTCTTTTACTACATCTGTGTTGTAAATTCGAATTCCAATCGAATGATAAACTTCATATTCTGAATTTTTAGTTAAATCCTGCAAATTAGCTTCCGAAGTGAAAACACTGGCTGTAAACGAGTATCCATTTTTTTTCAAGTGATCCAGAATCACTCGCTCCTGTTTTTGAAAATGATATTATATATTAATCAATTGAAAATATCAATAATATTAATGATGAATTATTAACAAAAATTGATAATATTTGTTAAACCATTGAATGTTATGAATCATAAATTTGGATAAAATTCAAGAAAATAAACTTACACAAGCTCTTTGTATTTCAGGTCTATTTCCAAATACTGTGATGGAGGGATCTTTGTGAGTGGGGCTTTTTTTCGTCAAGTCTTCATATATCATTGACCTTAATTGAGTTTTTAAAAGTCCAATAACTCCCTTGTCTTTATACTTTTTATACATCTTTTTCTTCAGCTCTTCTTCCGACAATTCATCAAGAACATTCCTTCGTTTTGATGAATCGCTGTTTAATGAGCTTCTTCCACTGCTCACAGAAGAGTATGACAAAGAAGGAGAGTAAAGAGCTGGATCTTGATCTATTCTAGAGTTCTCTTGGTCATAATATGAGTTAGTGACTGGTTTTTTTGTTTTTCTCAAAGCAGCCTCATACTCTTCGGAAGCATTCTGATATTCGTATTCGTCGACGATAGCAGCATCACTCTTGACATCAAATCCCGGTTGATGAAATGAAAGAGAGGAAGAAGAAGAAGAATTTGATGATGGAATATTTGAAGAGGAGTGTTTCTTTGCGTCGATGGTGGTGTTGTTGGTGGTAGTGATGCGAATGCATTGTTTTTGTATATCGGAAGGGTCATGGAGGCGGTATCTTAAGTTCCCGCTCTCGAAACGATTTGTAATTTCCCTCCAATATTCGGGACCGTTAGAAATTTAAAATTTTAAAAATCTAAAATATTAATATTTTTGAGTACTCACTTTCAAAAAAAAGCCTCTCTTTCACACACCCACAAAATCTTCTCCTCACCATGGTCAACAAGGTTAAGATTGCAAACGTTCAAATCAAGAACAATCCAAGCCCTTTCACTGAAAACATTGTTATGGACGTTGCTGTTGATTGTATCGAACAAATCAACGCTGATTTGGAATTGGAAGTCGTCTATGTTGGTAACAGCGAGAATCCACAAGGTGATCAAGTCTTGGACTCTGTTTGTGTAGGTCCTGTGAAGGTCGGAACCAACAAATTCACTCTCACTGCTCCTCCACCAAATATTGAAAAGATTGCTGCTGCCGATTTGTTGGATTGTACCGTTCTCTTGCTCAAGGTTTCCTACAAGAACCAATTATTCACCCAAGTCGGTTACTTTGTTTCCAATTACTATGCCGACCCACAACTCCAAGAGAATCCACCTGCACAACCAGTGGTCGATAAGTTGATGAGAAATTTGAATGATACACCAAGAGTTACCACCTTCAGCATTGACTGGGATTAATCTTGTGGGTGCGTACATTCAATATTTATCATCTAGATGCTGGCTCCGAAACATGAAAATTCATCCAAACCTAGCACTTTGCAAACACATTGCGGTTTGAATGTTTAATTATCATTCAAATCGATTGATTTGCAATTCAAAACTTTTCTTGATTTAATAAAAACATCTCTAAGTTATTCATCTTCTTCTGGGACATCAAGCACTTCTTCCGACTCTTCACCGAGCATTTCCACATTGGCTTCCGAAGACACATCACCACTGACGTCCTTTGGAGGTTTAACGAAAAGCCAGCCTCGAAGATAGAGCAAAAATTTACCCATCAGATGAGTCTCCTTTTCAACTTGGAGCATGTGTGAGTAAATTCTCTTTTTGAATTCTTCAATTTCAATGGCGTAATCTGCAGCTGAAACTGCTCCGTGAAGTTGAGAACCAGCTTTCGCGTTATATCTTTTAAATTCTTGTTCACACAACAGAAGGCCATTGGCAGGAGCAAGTGGAACAGGTACAGCCTTTTCCTTATCGACTGTCAAGGCAAATTCACTCTCATCAAAAACGCCACGCATGACTCCAATAAAGAATCCAACCATCTTTCGAATCTGATTGTAAATGAATGAGCTACCACATACTGTTAATTTAACAACCTTAACTCCTGAAATTTCGAATGGATGCGAACACTCAAATTTTGTAAGATGTCTATTGTATGAGTTGGGTTTTGCTTTGGACAATTGAGTGTAGTTATGATAACTATGAGTTCCAACAAAGTTTTTCAAAACTCTATTCGCCATTTCCACATCTTCAGAAGTGATATTGCAATTGTAAATATCGAGTAGGCCATTCTTTTCAATATCTGTGTCAGTAATCTTTTCCAAGTTGGTCGTTCTGAACCATTCTTTAGCGTGTGGATCTTTTGTAAGAGCAAAAGCAGGTAACAAGTATTCGTAGGTTCTTGCTGTACAGTGATCCTTAGCATGAAACGATTTGGACACTCTCTTAAATCCATAAAAAATAATGTCATCCGGAAGAAGTTTCCTCACTTCCTCTAATAAGCCTGGTTTTAAGAGAAGCTTCATTTCAAGAACATTGGAAGCTGCATGAACTCCTTTATCGGTACGTGAGCTTCTGTGAAAATGTACCTTATTCATATCTGTGCTGTTGTGTTCTGCAACTCCACCTGCTTTACATAAGGCTTTGAAAAAGGTTTCTTCCACTGTGACAATATTTGGATTTGTAAAATTTCTATTGTGTTGAACGATGAATTCATTACATGAGAACGATTTCAACGATAAGTGATTAAAAATTTCAAAATTGCAGAGCATATGTTGGAATGAATACAGCATGTGTGATTAACATGACAAACATTCGAATCATCATCATTACATAAAAAAAATTAATTTTCAAAATATAAAATTGCCATGAAAAAACATACGATGTTTGTGAGCCATTGTAATTCGTTCCAAGATATCCAATGAACAAGGCTACTCTTCTCTTTTGATATTTCTCCTCATTCTCATTCTTGACCTTGTTCGGATTTGGTTTTCCCCATTCGGTATCCACAATTTTTTCAGACTCGGCTCCTTTCTTTCCTCTATTCTTGTTGTTATTATTGGTTTTACCATTATTTCCCTTTCTTCTCTTGTTTTTATCTTGGTCCTGTTGATTATTGTTTGTGCTCTCGGATGATGATGAGGTAGGTGGTTCCTTTCTCTTATTATTTTCGGAATTATTACCACTCTCTGCGATGTTGTGTGTATTCACAGAATTTGAGGTTGTTGTTGTCTGATCAGCACTATTAGAGGTAGCGACTATTTGCTGTGATGATGATGGAGTATGTTCATTCCCTTCTGTTGTTTGCATTTTTTTTCTGTCAACTTTGGTTTGATGGTTCACCGAAATGATGAAGCTCACGAATATCAAGTCCAATATTTTAATATTATAATTGTGATATGCGCTTTATTGATGAGGCAGTCTACTCATAGGACTGCGGGAGAAGAAAAATCATTTAAATCTTCTTAAAATCCAAACAAAACATTGAGTTTTGGAAGATGCCACTTTCTGGTATTCTGGAATGCAGCGGCTACTTGTTGATAAACCATTAAGGGGCTTTCAACACCTGGTAAGAAGTGAGAATCAAGATTCATCAAGTATTCATACAAGACAAGGAAATGACACATTACGCCCATATTCACAAGACAATGCCAAATGCCGTGAGCACATGGAACTCTTCCATCTCCATATTTCAGTAAGAAGCATCCACCAGAATAGAAGATTCCACCAATAAATAGGAATAGAAATGCCTCAATGGGAACTAGAATTATTGAGATTTGAATGTTACAGAGAATGTACATGTGACACCCATCAAAATGATTTTAAACTTACCATGTGTGAATAGTGCAGGTGGAATAATAAAGAATGCAATCCAACCCATCAAATTCAACAGCACAATGCCGTCAATACTTGCAAGAAACTTTTTGCTGAAAGATTTTGCCAATCCACACGCTGCAATGGTCCAAACAGCTACGGCCATCACGTTTCCAATCCATCCACCTTCTCCAAATTCCACTAAAGTGAGCCACGGTGTGTATGAAGCTCCAATGAAAATCTGATTTGAATCAATTGTTATTATCCACACAAATGTCACAGCAAAAATGTCACAACAAGAAGATTCCCAATGTCGCATCAAAAGTTATCACAAAACCATGTCACAATAAAACCTACATAAATCATTGAATAGTCCATTGCTCGAAAGACATCCACTCTTGGATCATTCTTTCCATACAAAAAACAAGCAACATGATACATGGATGATACCGCAAATAATATCACCATTCCGACACAATACACAATTGCAACAAATAATTCTTGTCCAGAATTAATAATATCTTGTTCATACATCTTGTAAGAAAAGTAAGCGAAAAACAAGATGGGTAATGTATGAGTCAGAACATTGATGGCTTCTTCAAATTTCGTTGGTTCATAATCGTCAACATTATTCGATTCGGGGAATGGATTCATAATCATGATGGTGGAACAGAGAAGACATCCTGAATTTTTCTTCCGATGAGTGGGTTGTTGTTGTTTTGCTGTTGTTGTTTCATGATGATCATGTTGTTGATGGTGATAATGATCATGTTCCAATTGACAAGCCTTGCTTGTACATTCTTCATGATGATGGTGGTGGGGATGAGATTGTAACTCCGGTGATGAGGATGGCAATGAATGAGATGGAAAAGCCTCCATTTTCTTGTCATGAACCATGGCCATACTGTAATTTAAACACTGAATAATGAAGGGAATGTTCAATAGTAGTGATGATTCTCTGATGATTGCAAACGGTTTTTTGAGTGATGTATTTGTGCGAGAGTGTATGTACGATGGTCGCAACGACGACAATAATGACGAGGATTCAAAACCCGATGTATGTACTAATAACTCTTTCTCGAGAACTCTTGTTCGCTTTTTTATTTGAAAAAGTCCATCTTCAAAGATGACAAACTGTATTTTGAATATTCATTTCCGACAAGCCATCAATTCATTTCGATCTCAAAATAAAAGATGCCTTTCCCGAATGATCGAAAGTCCCCACCAACCTTGAATCTTGGGAAGAAAGGGAATTTGGAGGATTGATTATTGAAATAGAAGAATTTTCTCCAACCTCAACGTTTCCAATTTGAATTTCACAATACATTCCCCAATATTTATCAAGACTTGTGTTTCACCATTGATTGGGTGTGAAGTTTATTCATGAATTCATCTTTATTGTTGTTCTTTATACACTTGCGACATTAATTCAAAACTCTTAATGAAGGGTCCGATCATGGATGGATTCTTAATCATGGCAAAGTAATCTCCTTTCAAGAATTTCATCCATCCCATGCTGTAGGCCGATGCTAAGGCAGTGAGGCCCAAACCATTCTTCATATAATAAATCCAATTCTCTTGCTTGCATCGAATGTCCCAATCCAATTCCTCTCCTTCATACATTTTGGCTTGAATGGCAGTTCCTTCTTTAATGACGAGCACAGTGGCGGGGTTTTCCTCACCTTGATAGCCGTATCCAACATTGGCATTGAAATTGATGGATTTTAAAGTGGAGGGAATGGTTGAATCTGCATTCCATAACTCTTGGAGTCGTTTCATAAATTTCTCAGTGAGCATGGTTTCGAGATGATGTTGTTGTTCTTGTTATTATGTGTGAATATAGAGTAGATGCTTTTCTTTTGTATTTGTTGATTCTAAAGTGACACCCATCACCCGCACAAATTTAAATCTTTTCCAACAAAAATGCTTTTGGAAGGAAACGGCGAAACTTTGTAGACGCCGATTGTGGTTGTCCTAAGGACTCGACGAGAATTTGTCCAGTACTGGCTCTGGTGACCAAGCTTTGGAGAATGACACATGTTCACCAACATACCGGCATATGTTCATCAATTCGTTTTTCCGAGATTAAATTTGATGGAGTGACTCTTTGTCTCACCATTTCCGTCGAGTTCTATTCACAGAAAATGCCAAAGACCTTCGCTCAGGAAATAACAAATCCATCATCATGAGTACTGTGGATATGATGCTCTGCCCAGGAATACTGACAGTGAATGAATTTGCAGCCGCTGCTCTTATCTGGGAGAGCCCAAAAACTCTGCTGCCAGACTGTCTTTCCGTGTGAATACCCAAAAGAAGAACCTCACGTTCTTTTCTGGGAGTCCAAAAAAGACCATCAAACAAAACCCAAAACAAAGACGCCTTTGGTGCCATTCAAAAATTTGTAAATCAGCAGAAGGACAGCTTGTTCGAAGAAGAACCAAGGATTTCATTATTATTGATTCATCCGTTCTTTTTCTCTTGATCCTTTCATGATTATATGTGCAGCAAAATCCTTTCAATTTTGAATTAAGGCTTACTGAATTTGAGCACCAACATTGTATTCATTGCGAACAGAAACAGAATGACTCCATCCCATCATAAACCAGAGTCCCTTCAATCCTTATCGGACTACATCTCAGAGAGAGTGGAGAAGGAACGAGAAATTTTTCGAAATCATCCACCTATGATCATCACAGCAGCAGATTCTTCCTCAACAAGTATCACTATGAATCATCATCAGCTTGGAGAGCAGCCTCAATTTCCACCTCAATCTCAACCTAAAGCAACGACATTTCAAGGCTTTCCTTCGATAGATCCAAATGATCATTATGAGGATCACTCAAACCGACAAAAGTTACCTTCCATTGACGAGTCCATGATCATCAATCCTTCCAACCAACAACAACAACAGGAAGGATATCATCAACCAACATCGTTCAATCACTCCCAAAAATCACAGATGAGACGCCTTAGTATCGGTAAGCCATCATCCTTCACTCTAACCTCCGATTCTCCAAGAGGTTGTACTATTCAGCAACTTGTGAGTAAGTGGGAACGACATTTTCTCGAATTGTCTCGACTTGCCTACATCTCTGTATTGATGGGAAAAAGGCGACTCAGTGAATGGACACTCATGAACCAAGTGGCAGAAAGAATTGCAGAGATTACGGCAAGCAAGTTGTGTGTCATCCTCAAGGAGGATCCTCCTTCTTCTGCTTCTGACGCTTCCTCTAATAAGATCAATCATTCCTCCTTCTCGTCGTCTCATCATCAGATCAACCAAGAGCAGCATCAACAACGTCCGTATGGAGAACTAAAAGTGATTGGACTCTTTGGTCTCGATGACGAGGACTACAAGCGTTTCGTTCATGTGCATCGACTGAGGTTTCCCACTCACAAATCCCATGCCATGTTTATTGAGGCATTTGTCAACAGCAAACCCATCATTGGTACACCAAATATAGGCTCTTATCGCCTTCCTCCAGGACATGTTGAAATTTTCAACTCCATATGCATACCCATTTGTTTTGGAAAACGTCCATTGGGAGTGTTAATAGCTGGTAACAGGGACGGAGACTATACCGAAGAAATGATCCATCCGTTAACTGCGTTGTGTAATTCCATTGGTAAGTATAGATTCTTGTTTGTTGGTGTGTCATCATCATGTTTGAAAAAGGTCACATTATGAAAATGTATAGTATGGAAACGGATGATGAAAACAAGACTTCAAGTGTTCCAATAGCAGGTATGACCTCGGATTCATCAACAAACTATGAATCTCCTCTAATTTCAATCAACGACAACCTTCCTTTACCACAATTTGTCTCAATGGACTCCAATTTTCAAGCACCCAGAATCACTCCTCTTCATCCACCTAGTACACTCACAAGCAAACAATCTACGAACAAAACTGACAAAAAACCTTCATCACTAACAAGAGCTTCTAGCTCGAGCGGGATACCTAGTCCACAATCGCCTCCTCCCATCTTGCAACGTGTTTACCAACTTGGTAAGAGCAAAAGCACCGCCTTAATTAAGGCTGAAGGAAACAGCTCATCTCCAACGACGGTGATTACATCAAGTGGTACAAACTGTGATATCAACGACGCAAAATGCATGATATCATGTGGGAATGAGCTTACAGTACCCCCCGATCCTAACAAACTCTTTGCGCATGACAATTCAGCCATAAGGACCTCAACCCCGTCCAGTGGAACGTCAAGTGTTTTAACAGGAAGCTCAATCGATACATCACCTCTATTTGATGAAATGGAAAACGAATTATTGCACTCGGCCGAAGTTTCACTTGCCGTTTTTAAGGCCGTTCGTGATAGTATCTTAATTTTGGATAGTGATTTACATGTCACTACCATGAATCCTAGTGCAAAAAAATTCTTTGGAATTTCACAAACAACTTCTCCGTTGACCTACGAGGGTGATTTGCATATCACTGAATTAATACCTGACAACTACACACAACGATTAGTTTGGTCTGAAATTTGTAACTCAAGCCAAAATTGGGTCCGACGAAAGGCACTTGCAAAATGTAGAAACTACGACTTGGTCATGAAGTCATCTTCTGACACTCAAGAATCAACACCCGTGGTGGATATTGTTTCAAATAATCCTTTGAGCCCAATAGAATCATTCACACCAACAGCCTTGAAATATGAGTCCCATGATTTTTGTAGGATGATTCCTGTGCTTGTTAGCGCAAATAGTTTCTTTTTCGGTAATGAAACCTTTTATGCGGTCACAGTCACAGATGAGACAACAAAGGAAGACATGAAAGAAAAGATGAAGTTTATTGCTTTTCTTAGTCATGAATTGAGGAATCCAATCCAAGTAATTGTTTCTGGAGTACAGTGTCTCGTTGATATGCTCAAAAAAGAAGTTTCAATTAGTGAGGAAAGAAATTATATTGTGAAGAGCTTATTTGGAGCATCCGAATTTATAACTCTAATTATCAATGACATGATCGATTTGACAAAGGTTTGTTAAAATTGCATTTTGAAAACCAAATTAATATTAATTACTGCTGAAATGCTAAATGATTCGATTTTTTGATCACTCTAGTTGGAAAGTGGTCATATGAAGATATTTGAAACAACGTTTAACATTAGAGATAAGGTCATGCAAGTCATGCAAATGCTACAAATTTATCAAGAGAAAAATCTAGAAATTAAGTCTTACATTAATGGCAATGTTCCTCCCATGCTCTACTCAGATTCTACAAAGCTACAACAAATCCTAGTCAATATCATGACTAACTCATGTAAATACACAAAAAAGGGAAGTGTTGAGCTGAATGTTTCTTATACGGAGGACAATCACAACCCCAGAGTCATTTTTAAAATTAAGGATACTGGTTTAGGTATTGACAAATCGGAGCTTCCTTCCATGTTTAGACTCTACAAACGATTGCACCGAAAACATTTTGAAGCTACTGGAAGTGGAATTGGTTTAGCATTATCCAAGCTGTTGTGTGACATTCTTGGCTGTTCAATTAGTGTGGACTCTGAAAAGAATAAGGGGTCAATATTTACGGTAGAGGTGCCGTACAAGAAACAATTTATACAGGAGTTTTCAATGAGAGAGGAAACGTTTCAGAGTGGCGAGAAGAACGATTGTGAAATAACAGCCTCGTCATCGGCTGAAATGGAGACACCGAAGGTTGAACAAATCCAAAAGACAGCACCTTCTCCCGAAAATGTTTTGAAAGGCAAAAGATGTTTAATCGTAGATGATAGTGAAATTATTCGAAAACTATTAAGAAACATGTTGAAAGACTTTTGCAGCAATTGCAAAGAAGCGGAAAATGGACAAGAAGCCATTCACATGTGTGACGTGTATGAGTTTGATTTCATCATCATGGATGTCATAATGCCTGTCATGTCTGGAAATGATTGTATTAAGAAGCTAAGGACTGAGAAAAAGATTAACACACCAATCATCGCTCTTACAGGAAACTCGTTGACAGAAGAAGTGAATGCTTTGCTATCTATTGGAGCGAATAGAGTTTTGCTGAAGCCAGTGAAACGAGCTGAATTGCTCTCAGAATTGGTGCAAGTGCTTTGCAATGTGAACAATCCTTAAAATAAAAAACACTCTAAAGATCTGATCAAAGGTATAAAAAGAGAATATTAAAGGGTGAATGTATTTTTTTATTTCTTGACTTTCTTTGACGAAGCCAATTGTGGTTTCTTGGTTTCAGCAATTGCAGCTTTTTTGGCAGCACTAGAGGCAGTTTCTTTCATGAAGGAAGCTTTTTGAGGTTTCTTTGAAGTCTGGGTCGTTGATACTTGGGATGCATTGTTGCTTTGGGATGTGGTCTTGGCTGTTACTGGAATAACACCACTTTTCTTTTTCATTTCCTCAATTGTTTCGGCTGGAGCTTCATCAGAAGTGAAAGCAAAGGCTGTTGGTGTGGTCTTTCGTTTCTTGGTTGAACTTTCATTGGTCTCTTTTTGTGCTGCTTTTTCTTGGCTTGCATTCTTCTTATTTTCATTCACAACTTCGTCCTGCAGAGTAGTGGGCTCGTTAGAAGCTGAAGCGCTCGACGAAGAGGTCTTTTCGTTTCTCTTTCGTCTCTTCTTATTGTCTTCTTCTTGTTGTTGTCTTAAAATTTCTTGCTGTTGTTTGACTCGTTCTTTTCTTTCATTCTTGAATGTCTCTCTTCGTTGTTTCAAAATTTCAATAGCAGTCTTATCTAAATCTTGTGTAGCTTCAATTACATTTTGTTGGATGGATTCGACATCACTCAAAAGATTCCACCTCTTTCTCCATGCTTCAAATAATGGAAGAGCTTGACTCCAAACAGATTTCTCTTCTGATTTCTTTTCCTTCTTATCTGAGTGATAAAATACAAAGTAGAAACAAATGATGAGTTCTTTGAATTGGGTATCGGTGAAATCGTCTTGTTTGGTCGAGTGATTAGCAAGATATTCCAATACATTCAATAAGATGCTGGCACACTTTTTGAGAGCCTTTGACTTGACAGTTCTGTTCACTTTCATTGCTGGGCAAATGTCTTTCACATAAGCATCCAATACCATGAATAAAACCTTATTGACCTGAGAGGGCTGGTTTTCAGTCAATGTGGCAAGATAAGGTTTCACCAAATGCACTAAAATTCGATCATACAGTTCTCTTTGTTGTGGCTGAGCGAGAATAAAACCTGATTTTTTGTTTCGGTACTTTTTGTCACCTGAGTGAATGATCTTCTCAAGAGCAAAAGTGATAATCTTACTACTGAGAGTGCAAGCAATAGCAGGATCAGATTGTGAAAGAGAAATGAGCAATTCCATGGAGGTTCCTAGATTATCTTCCTCATTTTCTTCAATCATGCTGGATTTTTCTGAGCCAAATAAAATCTTTTCAATATCTAATTCGGCAGATTCCACGACTTTGTTGGATCCACTTCTAAGGAGAGACATTAACCTAATATAAATACTCAGCATATGGGCACATTGCTCCATATTCAAAGTTGGTGCTAAACTCTTGGCAAGAACAGCTCTTTTTGCTTTTCCTTGAATTGATGACAAGTACTTGCCGTACTTGGAGAATTCAATCGCATAAATTTTTGCTGTTTCGAATAAAGCTTCTTTGGCATCTTGATCAAAGACAATGGCGCATGGGCTGTTAGAAGCATCTGAAAGTAATTGTTGTCGATATTCCTTTGTTAGAATCATCACAAGTTGGAAAACCTTATTGAAAATGGTATTAACAGCATATCCTGTGGCTTTCTTGAGATGGTCAGCAACATCTTCAGTATTTTGATACCACAGCTTATCCAAAACGTATTGGGTTCCTTTGAATAAGAGAAGAACCAAGACTGGTTGAGGAACACTTTTGATGCAAAGCCCTTCCAATACTTGAACAATGTTCATAGCAAATTCCATTCTCTTAAGTTTTTTTTGCTTCTCTTCTGATTTCCTTCGTTTTGCTTCATTGCGTGCTTTCAAAATTTCAAGAACACGTGAGACATCTGATGGATTATTAAGATCAATTCCTCCTTCTTCATCTTCCTCATCATTTCTAATGATAGCAGCACCTTCGGTGTCTTCTTGTGTGAGCGCATTTTCTTCACCATTTTGAGGGTGCTCTTCTTCAATGTTTTCAGCTTTTTCCTCTTCTTCCTCTTCATCGCTGTCTTCTTCTTCCTCTTCATCACTCTCATCTTCCTCATCAATTTCATCGACTTCTCCATCATTCATCAAGTAATTGAAGAGTAAATCCAAGCATTCTTCGTTCAAAAACTTTGCAAGAGTCATGAAAACTATTCTTGAAGCAAGAGTCAAGTTTGGTTCCGCGTTTATGTTCACAACCAATAAATCTGTGAGAACTTCGGTAGGTTGGGTAGCATCCTCATCTTGCATTGAATCCTCCTTTTTCTGACATAATGTGACAAGTTCTTCTGAAGAAAGCGACGACAAGGATTCGTATACTTTCAACAAGTCCTCCACCATTGGTTTACCTTGTTCTTGTGACTCAATAATCCAAGGATCGAACATACTTGCAATAATTAATTGTTTCAAATATATAGCTAATGAAGAAAGTATTGTCCAGTCCATACAAGTTTTCGAAGAGCTTCCAATACTAATTTTTTCGAGTTCCTTTTGAATTTTAGATAGCAAGTTTTGAATTTTGAAAAGTGTGGCATTATTATCTGTTGTGTCAAAAATTCTCTTTCTTGTTTCTTGCTTGGTCTTCTTTTCTCCGTCTAATCCATAAAGTGTAATGGCGTAACTATAAATTTCTCCACTCCAAGGCTTTGAACCTGTTAGTTGAGCTTTTTCGTTGCTACTTTCTTTGCTTGAAGGATGGTATTGATGTCTCATCCAGTTAAACTCTTGGACAGCCAAGTTGTTGAGAATGACCTTCACAAGATTACTAGACATGTCAATGATATCTTTGCCATAATATGATTTTTGTCTAATTAAAATTTCTCTTTCTGACAAACCTTCTTTTTTCTTAGCTGAAAGAAGTTTTTCGTTCACATAATTCATCATTGAGCCAACTTCAAACAGTTTCTTCAACAATACAAGAAGATTATCTGCTGTAAACGAGTCTTCACTCTTGTCATAAACTCTAACATTAGTAGGGAAACAAGAAAGTAAAAATCGCAATGCCTCCTCGTTGAGCCATTCCTCTTCCTTTTCTTCTTCTTGAGCAAGAGAGTCATGCACCAAATCCATCTGGTTTTTCTTTGCAATAAATCGTTCCATTTGTTCATCGTATTGCTCTAAAATCATTAAAATGGAACGTGTAATGGTGCCTACTCTGAGTTTGATTGCGTCTCTTAGCCATGAAGACAAAGTTCTAATCAAAGACCTCGTTGTTTTACGGCTTGAAGAAGTGAACTCGTCCTCGTCATCATTTCTCTTCTTTTTCTTATCAGCTTCCAATGTAAATGATGAAAGTTTTCCATTATCGGTTGTGTATCTACCCAAAGTATTGGAAACCTTGCACAACACTGACTCTCTCGAGAGAAGAATTTTAGAAAGAGAGGGATTTGTAGAGGTAAGACTCAGAATTCTTGGTCGCAGATAAGATCCAAGCCATATCTGATAATTGAAAAAAGCTTCACGAACTTGTTTCATCTTGAGTTCATTCTTAATCGATTCTGTCTCTGAATTTACATTTTCCTCACCTGATTCAGCTCTCTTGCGCTTCTTTTGTTCTTGTTTTTTGACGACAAGCATCAGTAACGAATTAAGCAATGTGTTGTTTCCGGTTGGGCTGGATGACGTCAATGATGGAGCATTCTTCAAGAACTGTTTGCATTCATTTAAACAAGCACCCCACATTAACAAGAAAGGATTCACCGACTTTTCAATTTCTCCCAATGGTAAAATTTCATCGAGAATATAGTTCATTACGTTCTTGTCAACATTATTCAAACATTCGATAACATCTTGGAATATCTGAATTTCCCACCAATAACCTTTTCGAGTTGATAACTGAGCAATAATGTCGTTTGTGCTACCACTCTTTGGTTGTTGAAGAGGAGATGGTGGCACTTGCATTTGTGAGAATAATTGAGAAAAGAAACTTTGTAGGAGTTCTTTTGCAAACAAAAATTGCTCGTATTCCTTGCTTGCGTCTGTTGTTTGTTTTTTCTTCTTTTTCATTCCTAACGCAAGAGATGGCACGATGAGATTTGTGAGGAATTGAGTCATGGCACACTGAACAGGTAAGTGACGGAAATCAGCCATATAATTGCAAAGTGCAATTACAAATGATCTTGTCATGAGAATAGAATTTTCATTCATGTCTTCATCCTCAGAGTTTGAGGCATTACCTCCTGTCATAATCATGTTACGTTCATGAATAGCAGTTGGGCAGTATTGTTGAATATAATGATGGAGCATGAAATGTGGAAGCTCAACATATGTACTTTGTAACATATTCCTAATAAAAGCTCCGTCCGTTACCACTGTTCTATCTTTCAGTGACTTCTTCTTTCGTTCAGAAGAATCATCATTGTTTCCATCATTGTTCAACAATGATGGAGTATTGTCCACAATTTCTGGTAGGAAACTCCTCTCCAATTCAAATGCAAATGTTTCCAAGTCTTTTCTCGAAACGACTGAGTGCTTTTTCTGAGATTGTTGTTTCATGCAACTGAGAATCACACCAAATGCCTCAACAAATAAAACATTCAAAATTGCCAAATGATGTTGTTGCTCTTCCTGTTCATTATTCTGAGGTTCACTACTGTCGTTCATATGTTCATTCTGTTGTCGTTCCTTTTCTTCCGATACTGCCTTCAGCTTTTTCAACAATCGACGATAATCTGTTTGAACATCTTCAATAAGTCGGAGATAGAATGGCCTTGATTTCTGATCCTTCTTTCCTTGTGGTTGATGCCAACAAAACACAGCACCACTTAAAAAACATCCTGTAACGAAAACAAGCCTTACTTTCACTTGTTGTTCGAACACTTCGTTTGTTGAAGATGACTGTTGTTGCTGCTTTTGTTTCAATAATTTATATAACTCTTCTGGTGAGAATAAATTAATTTCTTGTTGAACGTGTGATGTAACCACACTCGCTAACAAGGTTGTGCAGAGAGTAGAAATAAGAGTTGAATCCAGAACACTCAGAATACCATGTTCCGATTTTTTCTTCAGTCCAACAACGAGGCTTGTTGTTTTCTGGATAGACTCTTCTCTCATACACAGTTCAAACAAGGAAAGGAAAAAGTGAAGTACATCTTCCTTCCCTACATTCTCGGAGCGCAAAATTTGAGAAAGTTCGGTAATGAGCGTGGAATCAATTTGATGTGGATGGAGATGAAAGAATTTTTCAATGTGTTGGAAAAGACGATCCTTCAAAGCAGCTCTCTTATTCACTGTGGATGATGAATTCATGATTGATGAGGATTGATGATTGGCTGATGATGATGAGGAAGACGAGGACAAGGAGGACAAAGCTGCCGAGTCGACCTTCTTGGACGATTGTTGTGCTGCAGGCATTTTTGTTCAAATTTTTTGTGAATTTCTTCCTCTAAAATTTGTTTGGCTCTCTCCTTCAACTGCAAGGTGCGCCAATTTCGAATCGATTCAAGCATTCACAGTAGTAGTCTTATGTGTGCGCAACGAGTTTTTTGGCTTGAGTGAGCTGAGTTTCGCTAGGATAATGGATTAGAATTAGTCCAGCGAAGGTCCTGTTCTCCATGGAAACTGGCTTGGCGTCACCCAAAAACTGCGTTGCGCATGCATAAGAGAATGGTGTTAGAAAGGGTGGTTGTTGGTGTTGTTGTTAAAAACAATTCATGCATGAAAAACCTCCTTTTCATCCTTTCAATGGATGAATGGGTCTCTCCTTATCAGAGATACTTTTGGAGAGCTCTGTCAATCGATTGATAAGAGTGTGAACATCTAAATTGGTCTCCAAAAGATTATGACAAAAGTTTGAAACGAAAAATTCCAAAAATGTCTTCTTCAAAAAGCACACACGAGTTCACAAACAAAAAAAAACAACTCTTTTTATCAAGCTCTATCATTTTCTTACATGTCCTACGGTCAAGTGCCATCACCCAATTCAATGCAATCTCCTCCATGTGGATGGATCACCAACAATCAACAACTCTCAAACCCATCCATGGTCAATACCAATCAAGGGTTTCCTCCATACGATGCGAACGTTAACATTAACAACAGCATTCCACCCATGACTCAACAGTAACGTCATCAGACCAACATGCCCTCTCAACAACCTCAAACCTTTTCATATTTGCCATCTTCCAATTATTACTATGATTCTAATTCAATGGGCATGACAAGTCCACCAACAATGAATCAATGCATGTTCAATGATGAGTCATTCATCCTACGTCATGGATCCACAACAATCCCAATTTTCTTATGTTCCTTCTACATTCAGTCCTCAACAACAACCAAACCCATCTATGAGTGGTGGTGGTGGCATGATGACCATGCAATATCATTCACAACCTCCCAACAACAACAACATGTTTATAGGTCAACCTTCTCAACCAATGGCACCAACGAGTAATACCAACGTTCCTCAATTGCAGCAAGAAGGAATAATCATTATTGGGGGTCATCCATCCCAGCAACAACAGCAGCCAAACTTTAACACCTCTCAATCAATGATGTTTGGTCATCATCATCAACCACAGACAATGACAACCTCCTCACCCATGTCACAACCCATCATGATGCAACCATCCAATGGACCTGTGAAGGAGCAATGGGTCAAAGAAGTGTTGGACGTGTCCTCTGAGTATTCCTCGGATTATGGAGCGAGAAATGTCATTGGAGAAAGCAGAGTTTATCCTCTTCATGGTAAGCATTTTCTTTTTTTAGAAGTTTTCAAAAAACACAATTATTTCAATTCACTGTTATTCACTGTTGCCCATCATTACCAACGTTAACAGAGGACTCCAATAAGGCATGGGTTCCTGAAAAAGAACGAAACAATCAAGAATTTATCATTGTTGAATTTCCTTTCTATTCCGTTATTACTGGTGTTCGAATCTATGAGACTTACAATCCTGGATCCATTGTCAAAATTTCATGCCTTCCCAAAGGAAGAGATGCCTACAAGAGGAAATTCTCTCAAGATGACACGGTTCGTAACTCTACAGAATTCATGTTTCCCAATGATTGGATCACTTTGTACGAAGGTCCTCCTCAACAACCTCTCTTTAAGGGAAAATCCAACATTTTCTCTCCACCCTTAATGACGAATGGCATTGAACCGAAAATTCTCCTCATCACCATGAATACTCTTCAATCAGAGAGTTGGAGTGAAATTGATGCCATTCAATTGATAGGTATTCCCACAGAGGCTGAATTCTTGAATGGAATGAAGGAGCTTTGGGCAGGTGCTGTTCTTGCAGTGAGTAGTGAGTATGGCAATGGATGGGTCGCAACGAATGTCATTGGTAAACCCAGTGTGTATCCCAAGTATGGAGATGACTCGAAAGCATGGGCTCCAAAATCAGAGTCTGGCACCTTTGAATTTATAACGTTGGACTTTTTGGAACCTCTATTACTCTCCAAGATTGAGATTTATGAAACGTACTGTCCTGGGGCACTTGTGAAAGTGACTGGTTATAGCAATCATTCAAGCATGGAGTCTGGTACTGTGTTGTATCAAGGAGCAATTGAAGAGGGTCTACCTGATTTGGCACGAATTAAGACCATTGAGGTTCTTGGTGGTGGTGGTGTTGCCATAGCTAAGAGCATTCCGATTCGTTATTTACGATTAGATATAGACACGACTCGAAGCAAAGGTTATTATGAAATTGATGCAGTGAAGGTGACTGGTTTTCCAGTGGTGGGTTTGGGAATGTCAAGAACTCTTTAGAGTGAGTTGTGTCTTGCTGGGTTCACAAGACTGAAACGTCCATGTATTCAAATTAAAGAAAATTGTAAATCTGATTTACTTTTTTTACAAAAGATTAAGATTCATGATTAATATCTGAAAATAATAAATGGCTAATTGACCACCAACAACAACACCTGCATTCCACATGTGGCACGTCGTTCTTTCCCAATGAAACAAGTTCCTTTTAACTTTATCAGTCGATGGAGCCGTCTCAAAAGTGCGCACGCTTGGTTAGTGGAAAGCACTTGTAGGCGCCTTTAAAATTCCCAAACGTGAGTGTTTCCTTTCATCTTCCCCTATGAAAAAACAAAGAAGGACAATTCTTCCTTCCTTTCCGTCGTTGGCTCATCATCATTGTTGGAGGCAAACAACCATCCAAAGCAGCAGCAGCAAGGGCATCTTTCCATCGAATCTACTTCTTCGGACTCTTTCATTCCTTTCTCTTCTGGTTCTTGTGGTCGGGTTATCCACAACATCCATCATTCATTGCACAACCACTTTACGAAAGCATCATCACCATTCTTACCACCACAAACAACAACAGCAACACTCGATCGGAATTGATACCAATACCTACTTCGCTACCAACATGAACACCATGATCAGGGAATCGCAGCAGCAACACAGAGAGGAGCAATCTTTATCCTCCACATCTTCCGAACAACAACCTATTGAAAATCCATCATCGTCATTATCACAACCACCTCTTCTACTCAAGGAACGGATTCGAGCCATGTTTATTGCCCATGGCTCTCCGACTCTATGCATTGAACCTTCTCATGGCATGAATCAATTACTTTCCAACCAAGTGGCTTTTCAATTTAAAAACAAGCGACCAAAAGCAGTGGTAGTATTTACTGCACATTGGGAAGCTCATCCTCATGTGGCCATCAGCTTCCATGATTCCTCGACCACCTACGAGACCATTCATGATTTTTATGGCTTTCCACGAGAAATGTAAGTAAATGTATTCAAAAACATTTGTTAGACATTTACCTCTATTTGTACACCCTATACTCATGCACACACACATTTACTGCACAATGTCACATATACACACTGCATGATCATTGAAGGTATGAAATTGAATATCCTGCTAAGGGAGCTCCTGAAGTTGCTCAAAGAATCGAACAATTACTTCAACAGAATTCCATTCCAACACGAAGAGAAATGAGACGAGGATTAGATCATGGCACTTGGGTCATTCTGAAAGCTCTCTTCCCTGAAGCCAACGTTCCAGTAGTTCAGTGCTCCATTGACGAGAAGAGCTCTGTCGAACATCACTACAAGATTGGAAAAGCCTTAGCTCCATTAGCTTATGAAGATGTTTTGGTGATTGGCTCTGGAGCGACTGTTCATAATCTGGGACGAGTGAGCTGGGGAAAGAAAACTCCAGATGCATGGGCAGTGGAGTTTGATCAATTCTTGGTGGATAACATTTCCAAATGGAATACAGATGCCCTGTTTAAATATGACCAATTAGCTCCCCATGCGAAACAAGCAGTACCAAGAAGTGAACATTTTGTTCCACTCTTTGTGGCAATGGGTATGGCTGATGAAACAAAGAAAGGAGATGTTCTAGAGAGGTTTTATGACTTTGGAAGCTTGAGTTATTTGAGCTTTGTGTTTTAGGTTTTTTGTTTGGTTCAAATGTAATGTCTTGTAAATGCATTTAACCCTTTATTCAGCCTATCGAAAAATAAAAAAATTGAAAGAGTTTCGCTACATTCAAGATAAACAAATTCTGAAAATCTTTGCCGAATATGAAATTGTGTTTAGAAAAAATGATTTGATCTCATTCATCTCACGGCCCAACTTGGCTTTTCACTCTTTTGTTTAGACAAGAGAACTCTTTGCCCACAATGGTCCTTGTGACTTTTATCATCACATCAGCGCGACATAAATGAAGAAACCTCCAAATTCATCGAAACTCTGCATTTCCAGATAAGAAGCATATTTCCAAGGAATTTTTGGAGGTTGGAAAATCCCGAAAAAATTCCTTCCGCACGGTTCTCTCTTTCATTAATCCCAGAGCAAAACAAAAAACCGTAACCACCACTTGTTTCAACAGAGAAGAACAAGAGCAACAAAAGATCCTCGAATTCTTCTCACACAAAAAAGCCGAAAGGACAAAGCCACCTCACAACATACCTGTTGTTTTGGACAATCAGATACCTTTGATCAATTCCACTCCGATCATCATTTCCCTCATCATCACAAGAGTTTTTTTATTTGTAAACAGAAAAACGGATTGTTGATTGTTGAGAACTTTTCTCTTATCCTTTTATTATCTCAACAACGAGCACTTTGAACGATTAGCAAGATGAATCTCAACTCTGCACAACAATCCTTTCTCAATCCTCTTGTACAACAACATGCTTCTGCTTTGCATCGATCGTCATCGTCTTCTTCTACTCCATCATCACTACCAGTAGCAAATGGTAGACTCTTTGCATTTCCAGCAGCAGCTTCATCGTCCACCCTGAATACGAGCATGGATGAATTGAATCAATACAATCAAGCATTGAATGCTTTGCAATCCATTGAGAGTCAATTTGATTTGAACGTGGAAGAATTTCTGAATGAAGATGATGTGGATGATGCTACCACCACAACGACCTCCCACCAGCACGCCAACACTGCCGGAGTGATCAACAATAATACTCCGAGTGGTATGAATAATCATCACATCATGACGGGAGGAGGTGATGGCTTGTTCTTTGACAACTCTTCTCTCTATCAGCAGACATCCTCACAGAACGCATCTCAAGCAAGTACACATCAATTATTGCAAAATGCACACAACACAGTCATGCAGCATAACAAATTGTTGCAGACTTATCTAAACAGCATGGGGCAACAACAGAGACAAAATGTTTCATTGCAACAACAACAAGGAGTTGCGTCTCAAACAAATTCTCAAACGATGAGCATGCCAAGAACATCCAGTTTTAATCAATTGACCAACTTAAACCTAAGCTCACCACAACCAAAAGTAAGCAGTTCATTGAATGCATTCGACACTCTTGTGCCTTCATTTAATGGTGTCGCACAAAGCACAACACCAAAGGCAACCTCAAGCAATCCATCCTCTTCCTCTGCAACGCAACAAAAAAGTTCAAGTGCCTCTTCGTCAACCACTTCATCCTCATCTTCTCCTTCGATGCAATTCTTTTCCACACTAGATAAGGGAATTCATTCTGTACAACAAGTTATTATGAATGGTGGAATCACAAGTGTACAAGTTTGGTCTAACTGTTTGATGCAACTAATTCCCATCTTAAAAGTGATGGATGATACAATACCCGATACGATCATTGGAGGAAAATCAGTGTCAAATAGAAAGAAAACTCCTCTTAATGTTTCTATCGAAGTTTCTCTCGATAGATTTAGAATGCTAGTAAGCACAATTATTAACATGATGAGACAAAGAAATTCACTATTGGAAAAAGAAGGTGCAGCGTTTTGCCAAGTCAGCGAAAAGTTAAGCTTAATAGTGAATTTGGACGATTTGCGGGCTAAAATTCAACGTAATGAGATTGCCTTTAGTGACGACTTGTGGCGAGCAGATGTGACGCTATTAATGAGCAATCAAGAACAAGATAAAGGTCTCACACGAGATAAAGCAAAAAAGAAAAAGAATGAGAATTTAAGAGAAGGATTCTCTGTATTCAGCAATCCAGAAAATCCAGGTAAGTATTTTGAAAAATTGGCCTAAACAACAGTAACTAATTCTTTGTTCTTGTTTTTTAAACACGCGTCCACAACAGCCACTACCATTATCCAATATGCTCCAATCAAAGCAGGTGTTGTCTCTAACAACAAGAAAAATTGTCAATTGAGATACAAACTTTGTTATGACAATTGGCTTGTGTACTATGTTGATTCTACCAAGTTATTTGCCATCAATTGTGGTAAGAACACAAAATCAAAGAAAAAATCATCCAAGTCAACAGAGGATGACACTGGAAAAGATTTGGATGAAGAAATGGATGGAGTATCGAATGATGAACATTCTCCACCTTCGCCACAACTTCCAGTTGCTAATCAACAAGAAAAGTCCTCTCTTTCAAGATCTGCTTCCACAGCTTCTCTGGGTTCATCTGTTTCATCGAGTACGGAACGGCCGTCAACGATTGCTGTCGCATCGAACGGAAGTTTTGTTGTCTCTCCAAAATCTGGCTCTAATGCTGGAGGCTATTTCATATTCATTCAATGTACTTTTGATAGTAGATTAATAACGGACCTTCAGGAAGTTAAGGTCTTTCTTGGAGATCAAGAAGCAGAAATTCGTCAAATTAATCAAAATGCTATTTTCATTGTTGCTCCAAAAACTCAAATGAAAGGCGTAGTCCCAATTGAGATTAGAACCAATAATTTTACAGTTTCCAATCCAAATGATCTGAAATTTGAATTTTTAGATGACGAAGCAAATTCCAACATTTTAGTGGATGTGAACGAAAAAAAGAGAAAATTCGATGCTTGTTGTGATGTGGTTGAGGTCAATAGCGTAACAAGCAGCAGCACTCATGGATCCAATTCAAATTCAAACACATTCAACCCATCGATCGTGAGTAACTGTGCTCCATCATCTAGCATGACGAAGGAGAAGAAGAAAAAGAAGAGAAAGGAAGTACTTACACCTTATCGACGTGAATGGGCAATTGTTATTGCCATTGACAAGTACCATCACAATGGACTTCTTCATGAGTCCTCGGCATCATCCGTACACGACGCGATGAACTTGGCTAATATTTTGACCAAGATTTATGGCTTTGAAGTTCGATTACTTCTCAATGAGGAGGCTACTTGGGCCAAGGTTAATCAACTATTTGTTTCTCTTGCTGAAAGTGACAGCTTGCAAAACGATGATGCAATTCTGATTTATTTTACAGGAGTCTCTATTTCAAAGCAATATATTAATGGTTATACAGAAAATTATTTGGCTCTTTACGACACTGATCCTGACAATTTGATTAACACAGCTATTTCTCATCAATCCTTTGTGAACTTCCACCATAGATTAAGCGCCAAGCACATTTTATTCGTGTTTGATACTTTCTACAATGGTATAATGATGAAGGTCGTCAACGATGGCCATCCATCTAAAGACATGAAGTATTATGCTACCAACAAGGCAGTCCAAATGATTTGTGCTTCTCAGAGACAAACCGGTATGAGACCAGGAATTTTTAGCAAGGAACTCGTCAATCTGTTAACAACCATGAAATGGGGCAATGACGGTATTAAGAGTGGACACTTGACTCTCACTCCATTCTACACAACAAGCGACCTTGGAAAACAACTTCAGCAACGAGTACACAAGGAAACAAACGGAGTGCAAGTTCCTCGCTTTGGTGACATTGAGCTTGGAGGAGGCAACTTTTTGTTTATTCCTAAGAGTTATGAAAAGCATAGTTACAATTCAGAGCTCGAAAGAATTGTTTCTCTACTTTCTCTTTACGAGGACTATATTCAAAACATGAATTTGGGAGACATGAGCAAGCATGAATCTTTGATGTCTTTACTCAAACTTAAATTTTTCCAAATCTCAAATTACTACTTGCAAACATTTGACACATTAATCAAGGAAGAAAAGATTCAACTACGATCTGATATTTATGCAAGCCAAAAATTGAACCTTACTGAAATTATTAAGACCGTTCGATACAGTTATTTAGCACTTTATCGATGGGCTGACGATTGGATTTTACACGATCCATATCATTTGGCAGATGCCAATAAGAAACTATTGGATTCCAATCCAAGTGCGGTCGTGAAAAGAATTTTCGTTGTTGGTCTTCCGAACATGTCAGAACACGATGAAAAACAATACATTAAGCTGATGAAATACCATCACAGCTGTGGCATTGAGGTTCGAGTGGTTCATCATAAGGATTTAGATGATCGAAAAGAAATCCCACACAATTTTTCCATTTTAGATTCCAGACTTGCTCACTATCTCTCTTTCGAGGATGACTATCCAAAGTCTGTCATTATTTTCAACAGAAAGTCTGTTGCTGACTTGTATTACTCAAAGTGGGTTTATGTTTATAATCGATCAATTCCATTCAGCACATACCTTTCGGAGAAATATCCAAATAAGATTGCTGAAGATGCTCAAACTGAAGTGGGACCCATTCAATGCCATAGCGGATGTAATTTGGATCATGCATCAGCACAAGTCTCTGCTCCAAGTTCAGAGCAAGACAAAAACATGAGTTTGACTGACCCTCTCTTGTCATTTGATATTCATGAGAATATTGAAACGTTACAAATTTGTTTGGATCCATTGTTGCAGGGATTCAAGAAGAAATTCCTTGAAATGATCAATACGCCAAAGGATAAGGTATGTTTCATTGAATAGTGATTGAAAAGGATCAATTTTTTTTTTAACAATAATGTGTGTTATTTGATTGATGTTGCTCACCTTTAATTGTTAATAATTTTTAATGTGTTTCCTTCAGCATGCTCGTCATTGTGGAAAATGCTTGTTATTGCAAAAATTTCATTCCATTAGCATGCATTATGAAAATCAAATCACGACCTTTTTCTCAAAGGGTGAAATTGTCGTCCATGCGAACTTTTATGACACCATGAGACTTCGTTTGCATGACATTCAAGAATATGCTGAGCGCAGTTATGTTGGCGTCATTCCAATCCATGCATGGAGAGCAAGTAATAGAGCGACTCAATCACCTTATTTCACACATGAGAGTGTCTTGGAAATTGCTGACATGAACAAGAGATTACGAGAGAGGATTTCGAATATTGTTCTTCAAAGTGTGTTTGTTTTTTACAAGGGTTTATTTGGACAGAATGGTGAATTTTCTTCCGATTCGTTAAATGAAAATGGCGTGACTAAGAGTACCATTATTGCTGGATTGAAATATCATAGAGATTGTGGTATTGAAGTGTTGGTGGCATTGTTAGATCATGCCGATCAAGTGAAGGAGGTAGTTCCAGGTAATTTCTGTATTATTGATGGAAAAGTGTGTGGCTCAACCATACTCTCCAGTGAACCATCAAAATGCTCTGGAACTCATTCATACTATGTCAACTCGATCGAAGGAGGAGAGGAGAATGTCAAGCAAAAGAAGGAACTTGTAGAATTCCTCAAATCTAATGCCATGCCATTGGAAGAATTTTTGACCATTCACGACGATACATTATCCTCTGAGGCTGTTAAGGCCATTGTTGAAGATAGCAAGTAATTTTTCATCTTTTGGTTAATTTTGGTTATTAATACTTGAAAATGCAAAACAAGGATCTGACAAATTCTTAGATCGTACTATTCACTGTCATTTTCTTTGCGACTTGAAAAGTTAAATCCATGAATGTGAAATCTTTTTTCTCGAGTTGAGAGAATAAAGCTCGATCAAATTTTGAATCATAATGAAGATAATTTGGGAATTGCTTCCTTTGCTTCAAAATTTCAAGTTCCTCTTTCTTGTAGCGATGTAACACATCGGCACACTCGAATGAATTGTGCATGCCCTCTCTCAAATGCAACAAGAGCACCTCTCCAACTTGAAAGTAAATCGGTTTTCGGCCATTTCCTCGAAACACACATCTCAAGGTTTCATTGGTTCCATAATCTTTGTGATACACACATTCCATGACACTTATTGGATTGATGACATTCACAACCGTTCCGTAGACTTGATCTGGTTCTTCTCTGAGAGGTGGTGATGATTGAGTGTCTTTCGGATGCATATTTCGACGAATTCGTTTCATCGATTTCTTATTAAGAGAGGATGACATTTTTTTTGTAATCGAGCGTTCGTTCGTTCAAATGAATTATTGCGGAGAAACAATCACAACAAAAATAGAAAATTTGATCAAGATCGATCATCCACAACAAAGACCAACATCATCATCATCATCAACAACAACATTTATTATGGGGTCCAAAGCCTCTCGACACAAATCAACAAGCAACAAAAAGAGCTTGGCCGATCACTCTTGCTACTACGCCGTTCAAACCAATTCAACAACTCAACATTCCTTTTCCGTGAGATTTGTTGAAGATGAGGATGAACATACTGCTAATAACAATAGTATCAAAAGCACCAGCTCTTGGATGGAATTATTTGAATCCACTCCGGCGTTTATTCTCGATTGTTGTTCACTTCGGAATGACTTTACCAATTCTTTTGAAAATTCAGAATTTAAATCCTATCCATCGATCCGTAAAGTGTTGAGTGGAAGTCGACATTTATTTATTTGGATGGAGGATGATGAGGAGATGTCACAGACATTAGTAACTAGAAAAACAACAACAACAACAACTTGTCGAATGAATGCGAAGGATGAGAATGATCACTTTGACGACAAGGTGTTGATCAAGGTTTGTCATGCATTGTTTGCTTGTGGAGGTAGGTTGACCTTTTGAGTTCATATTTTGTTTTGGAATCATTCGACTGTTCGATGCGAAAATGGTCATCTACTGATTTATTGAACTATTGTGGTATTTTATATTGAAAATTATTTAAAAATTATATAAATTTCATATGAATCGATACTTGATGTGTTAGAAAATGAATATGCACAATGTGGTTGCACTTTCTCAATCAGTAATACATTTTCGACCATTCAAAAAGTAGATTTAAATATTCCCCTTTCAGATTGTAGTCACTTACCTGAAAATGATTTACAATTATTACGAAAATTGAGACATCATGTTTGGAAATTGAAAAATGTTTACACCACTTGTAATTATTCATTCTTTCACATTTTTGTTGAATCAGAGAATGATTATATCAATAAGTATGAATTATTAATAGGTTCTGGATGGAATAATGTTGGATGTTGTGGTGTTGGTGATACTTCCAGCACTTCAGTGAAACGAAAAATTGTCTTGTTTCATTATGATGGAAAAAATTCGGCATTTCTACCGAAGCATGAACAGATTTCTCTTGTTTCAGCTGGAGTAAGTAGTCGTTGCATGATGTCTTCTTTTCACGAAAATAATTTTAAATCATGATGTCATGGTGGTGATCTATGAATTCATTCATTCACATTGATGAACATTTTGTGATCTATGAAATCTGTCACCTATCAGGGTTGTAACTCCATTCTCGTCTCATGGAATTCTCTCACACAATCTCAACAATTATACATGTGCGGAGAAACAATTGAACACATTTATGGAAATAATTACACCAATCATGCACCTCGAGAAGTTTTTTCTCTTCATCCACTTTTTATGAACCAATTCATTCTATTGAAAGAGAATCAAAAACAACCATCTACAACCATCACCACCAATTCTTCACAAAAAAGAACCATCCAAAAAGTTCATGCTGCCTATGGATCTTCTCATTTTCTTCTCTCTGATCATTCCTTATTGTCATTTGGATATTTTGCTCTCACGACTGGCCAGCAAAGAACAACACCTCATTGGATTCATTCAGATCATCTTAATGGAGAGAGTATTAAGGATTTTGTGGCCTATGAGTCACATTTTGCACTCTTGACCTATGAAGGTAATATTTGGGTTCCCACTCTCAATGAAGAAGATTCTTTATACAAGAAAACCTTAAAAGTCTTTGAATTTGGACCTGGATCCATTTCACGAATTTGCCTATCACTCAATTACGATGGAGTGGTTGTTCAGTGTCAAGACAATAATCTTTATATCCTTTCATCGAGGCCATCTATTGATATATCTGTTTCGTCCTCTTTGTCTTCTTCTTCGACAACTCTTGTCAAGAGAGTGAAGGGATTCAAGAAATTTACAACGAATACTGCCACTAGTAATACTACAACGATTGAGGAATCCAACTCAGTTCATAATTATTCTGAAGAATCACCGCCATATTTGTCTCATCTCACAATGACTTCATTCCTGCAACGACATCCAAACGTGAAATCAAAGAAAATGTTACAACAATTATCAACACTTGTTTTAGAAGGAAATGCACAAGTTTCAATACATGGTCTTCATGGTTTGTTTTTAGTATTTCAAGTAAGCCAAAAGAAGAAGAGAGCCAAAAAGCAAATTGTGTCAGAATTTGTGGAATCAGTGGCAGTGGAGAGAGGACAATTCGAATACGTTTGTGGATGTCATGATCACATGGGAGTCATAATAATAGAAACACATGAATAATGTTGACATGTCCTGAAAATAAAAGAAAACTTAAAATAATAATATTGTTTATCCATTCGCCACTACCTACTCATGGGAACATACGTGCGAATCTTAGAAGGGAACAATAAGCTTGCATTGAATGTGTGTTGTTCATCATCAAGCAATTATTTCAAACAAAGAACTTCATTACAAAATGGCATCAGAGACTAAAAAAAATGTTTCAAACGAAAAGACTTAATTTCTCTTCCCTTGTTCCGCTCCAAATAAATGATACTATTAAATGCCAAGCTCCATCTAATAATAAGAGGATCAATTTTGATGATCATCATCAATTATCAATAATGATCAATGAATCGGAGCAATCTCATCAACTGGAATCATCATCAAATCACATGATCAACAATTGTTGGAGCATTTTGGAACGGGAACTTCCAACAGAAATAATGATTTCTATTTTACAATTTTTAAACTTACAAGATCTCGGGATTTTAAACAGAGTATCGAGAAATTTCAGATACCATTGGATATTACATCCCGAAGTGAATTGGAAACACCTGAATGAACTAAAAAATCATAATTATTTATTTATTGGACCTTCAACGGAGAGTGAATTGTCCACCTACTTGTTTTATCATTATTGGTATCGAAAGTTTGAACAATCTTTTTACAAGTTAGAATATGGAAGAGAGAATTTTAACAGTGATTTTGCTTGTGTTTACTTGATAGGACCTCCTCGTTCTGGAAAACTTGTTATTGTCGATCATTTATGAGGAATGAATGGCCACGTAACGACGACTATCAACCTACTGTAGGCTCCTTTCGAAGATCAAGTGGATCTACCACTGTCTGTAAATTATATGATGTTGGTGTTGCAGATAGAAACATATTTCGACAATTGTTTTCATTGAAATGGTGTTTTTTCATGTTCTTCTTTGATTTGAGTGATGAAAAGAGTTTTAAAGAGTGTGTGAAACGGATCAAGCATTTTGCAGAGGTTCTTAAAAAACAGCCTCAACAACTCCATTCACATTTACTTTCACATAACAAAACTGTGTGCATTGTTGGTACTAAGAGTGACTTACCACGAAATGTTCTAGATGAAAGTATTCAAAAATTGTTGAATACCATTATTCCAAGCGAAGGTGTTTTACTTGGAGATTTGAGAATACAATATTTCGAAATAAGCTCAAAAAAAAATAGGGGAACATGCCATCCTTTATATTTTATAATGAGAACACATCTAAAAACAAGAGAAGGTGTTGGATTGCCTTAATGTTGTCGTGGTCAATTATTTTGATTTTCATTTACCTTCCCAACTTATGGCAGAGTTTGACTTTGTCACTTGTGGTGCCAGATGACGACATGTGAATCGAGTGGGTTCAGAGAGAAGAGTATTTAAGTGTGCGACATCCCATGATCACACCACACGTACAAAGTGTCATTATTTACTTTTTATTCTTTTTACTTTTCCACTCATATTCGAAATCTTCAATCTTGGAGGTGATATCTAATTGCTTTCCTTGCTTTAACATTTCAACAGCCACACGGCCAATATTTCTACAGTCATCAATGCCTGAATGGTGTCTTCCAATGAGATCCAATTTTAAATCTTTCAACATGTCAGTCATGCCATGAATAGATTTGTTGTACATTTTCGAATAAACTTTTTTTATGTTAATCCAAGAAGAGAAATAAGAGGGTACTTTGATATGTTCCTTTCGACATTGTTTGGTAATCATGGTCTAAAGTGAATAATGCATAATGTCACGAAAAAATTAAGAAAGTTGGTAAAAAAACTTACTTTGAGATCCCAATCCCCACAAGTGACAAAAGCAAATTTCAAGTTCTTATTGATGAAATGGTCCATCATCCATTCATTGTGCAATTTCATGACTGTCTCAAATTCCACACCAGTATCGATCCATTCTTGTTGTATTCCTGTCAATTCTTTACAAAATTGTGTCAAAATCTTATTTTCCTTTGGTTTTACATAATAATGAAATTCAAAATCTATTTTTAATGTTCGAGCATTGATGGCCAATGTTGGAAATTCAATAATTTCATTTCGGAAATTTTTAATTTTATCATCACAAGTGGCTTCAAAATCCAAAATGAGATAATAATCAAAGAGCGGAGAAGAGGAAGAAGCAACTGAAGAGTTGTTGTTGGAATGGGAATGGCTCGAGATCATCAATTCGTTTTGAGAGATGAAGTGTATTTTTTGAAATAAAAAATTATTTTTTAATGAACATGCAAAACATTCAAATTTCAAATTGACTTGAAAAAGCATATGAAATCTTTGTGAATCAAAAACATAGAGAAGCAAACATTTCATCTCGAAAATACAAGTAAATAATAGAGAATATCTTGCAAGTTCAATTAATGGATCATTCTTCTAGAAAACTGTGAAACATCTTTCAAAACCTTTTCAGAAACGATCTTTCACAAGTTTCTTCAGCATCTCTCGTTTTTGTTGTTGGATTTTTGGAGTGCTCGTATTAATGGTTGAATTTGTTGTTGGACTAATTAATGGATTTGTTGTTCTGTCGAGTGAGCGACCAGAAGAATTGTTTTGAGGGTTCTTATTTCCATCCTGATTCCATTTTTGTGCCATTGCATATAATTCGTCCCATTTCTTTGAAATTTCTTGGTGTGTTAAGTGTTTTATGAACCAACTCATCAACAGATCGAATAAAAGACATCTATCACTCAGCTTCTCCAGATCAAAACAACCACAATATGGCCAATGTAAATATTTGTATTCTTTTTCAATGAAAAAAGCATAAACATAATTGGAGTCGGCCAAAAGACCCGTCCCATGATCCAAATTCTTAATCGGAAGAATGGACACTTTTCTTAAGTCCTGAGCGCAATTCAACACATTGACAAGTTTGTACTTCATACATATTGCTTCTTCTTCAACGCAAACATCAGGTTTGCAATATTTGGAAGAGCTATCTTTCACTCCCTCGCTAAGTATGACTTTACAATCTTTTTTTACATTTAATCTAAAATCTGAAAGCATTCCTGTAATCCACTGTAAATGTATCACTTCAAGATGGTTTTTTGAGGATATTGTTAAATTTCTTCTTTCCAGCTGTTCATAAAGTCATGAAGACAACACAACTTTTTGGAGGCGACCTGAAAATTATTCTCAATACAATGTTGCAAGAATGACGCTATGAGCTTGGCATCTTAATTGTACGTTCTTCTTTTGAAGTTTGTATAATGCAATAATAAAACATTTGAGGTTCACTTTGAGAATCTTTAGAGCTTGATAAAAATCAGTAAGACACTCAGGATGTTCATCACGAATAAATTCTTCGGACGTGAATGTCCTTAAGTTTGAAGGAAAGAAGGACTCCATAAACATGGAAACATCACTTTCTTCTAAATTAAGTGAAGGGAATGAAGATATGCTCTCGTTAGAGATGTTCATTTGTGTGGATCGAGCAATACAACTTTTTGTTCCAATGGGAGTGTATGAAGAAGGAATATGATTCATCACCCGTATTAAATAGTTCTTCATTTTGAGAAGAGCTTCGCTCCGATCTTTCTTTGGGTACCAATGGTCAAGACAAAAACCTTGATCGCTTTCAAAACATTCCCGAATATGAAACATATTTTCAATGATTTCATCTGTGGACTTGAATTTTAAGATCTGTCGTCTTGTACTCCGATATTTTGCTCGCTTGACAAGACTTCGGAATGAGCTTTGAAAAGTTGTTTTAAATTTTTGTAAGGTTATGGTCATGTCCTTGTATTGAACTTTATTCATAGACTTCAGCGAATTCGGTGGCACTTCTTCCAAATATTTCAGGAGTGTACATTTCTTCGGCTTTCACACCTGGAATTACAAAGGAGCCAATAGAGGTTGCTCTTGCAATATATGTGAATTCGTGGGTGCCTTCCCATAACAAGGAACTAAAAGCTTCAACCCTCTCATCTCTAATGTTGTGATGTTCATACCAAATTGGATTCCACCAACACCAACGTGACCTTTGTGATCCAGTACTTCCACTTACGGTAGCCACTGATGGTGATCCCTTCAATTCTGGGTTGATTGGTTCAAGACCTGCTGGTAAAAAGTCGACAAGAGCCACGTGATATCTACGACTTGTATTGGTCAATCTCATCTTGATACGAACCAATTCTCCTGCCTTAAATCTCCAAGTATTCTTTTCTTGGTCGAAGGTCACATGGGAAGGATTTGTAACATGTTCATAAGTTCTTTGAATCTCAAAGCCATAGTCCAACGCATCCACCTTCAAATCCTTTGGAGCATAGTCCATACCAATTCTGTAATATAATCTTCCAGGTCCCTTTTTGGAAATTGCTAAAGTCTTACTGTCTTTAACTTCACCATTGATCAACATGGACATTGGAATATTCAATTGATTTTCATCCTTGGATCTTCCCTTAAACACTTGTTCACCACAATACTCTTCACCAAGCCAAATGTTAGCAACAAAATCTGGAATGACATTTTCAAACGTATTAAAGTAAGTATTTAGAGCAAGGAGAATGAAAACGTTTTCCTGAGTGTTGCTCCATCTTCCCTTCTTCTTATGAGCTAACAATCCTTTAACAATCTTTGGAATGAGATGTGATTGAGGTGTCATGTTGATGAGTGCCTCTAAGCAAATTCCATCAGTTCTTCTATCACTGTGGAGCATGACATGCTTGGTGGCCATTATATCGCCATAACTAGTGACAAAGTTGGCTGTTTGAGCAGTTTCATTGGCATTCTTAATCAAATGTTCCATTATTTCATTGACAATCGTTGTAGCTTTCTTGTTATTTCCAAGATAGATGGTGGTAGCCAACCAAGCAAGATATTCCAAGTTGCCCTTAAGTTTCTTTTCTTGGTAAAGCTTTTCAGCCAATTCTTTAGCATCAGTTTCACCTAATAAGGCCAATGTATAATAAGCATAGGCCTTAATCGATCTAATGCTTTCATCTCCATAGTGAACACAATATCGTTCAATAGATTTAAGTACTGGAACAAGTTTGGATACCATTGTAGTGTTCAATGAATAACCAGCAAGTTTACAACGTGCCAATGCATGAGCAACGTGGCATGTGACATAGGGAGAAACTTCCAAATAATCGTTATAGGTCCAATAACCAAAACCACCATCCGGATATTGTCTTGAAGCAAGCATAGAAAGGCTGCTATTGATTTTGCTGTCGATATCTTCCTTGCTTGGTACTTCTGGAACATTGAAGGCAAGTAAAATATCTTTAAGGGCTACAATGGAAAGTACTCTGCTAGCAATTTGTTCACAACACTCGAATGGATATCCATACAAATAAAGGAAGCTGTCAGTGAGGGAAGATAATGCTGTTGAACTTGTGGAAATTTTGAGTGCACCAAATTGTGGGAATACATTTTGTGGAGCCTTTACAGGTTGGAAAACGGATGAATCGCCATCCATTTCGCCATAAGTTGCAAATGCTTCAGTGGTAGCTGGTGTGAATACTCGTACTTCCTTCTCGACTGCATCAGCAAAATTAATACCAGGTGTAGCAATGGATACTCCAATTTGGAATCTAGCAATACCAGCTCTTTCTGTGCACATTGGGAATCTCAATTCAACTCTTCCCATTGCAGGTAGTTTGATTTTTAATCCCTTCTTTGAGGAGTCCAAGAGTGTCAAATTAGTGAAATTGATGGCAGCATTCACGTCAAGGTTCAATGGAACTTGACTTTGTAGAACACAACAAAATTCAGCTCTATCACCAAAGTTTAAGAATCTTGGAAGAGATGGTCGGATAGCTAATGGAAGTTGAGCGACCATGGATGATTCATGAATACCAAATTTACATTCTCCTTTTAGGGCAACAGCTGTGATTCTGTACTTGGTGAGATTATCTGGCAGCTTGAATCGAACTGTTGCTTTACCTTGTTCATCGGTCATACTCTTTGGGCTGAAAACAGCGAGAGGATTAAAGTTGGATCGAACAGAAATTTGTGACTCTTCTTCTTCAGGTTCTGCAGAACCTTCCATTGGTGCCCGTTTGCACTTCTTAAATTTACAAGAACAACATTCCATCGATCCAGCACAATCGCATGCACAGCCAAAGCAAGATCTCGAACAACAACAACACCTGAGTCTCTCCTGAATTGGTTCTTCCTTTTGGAACACAATCGAGTCATAATTCTTCACAAACACATAACTTCTCAAAGAGTATGGGCTAAAACTTGGATAACTTCCACGAATAAAAGTATTCAATGGATTTGAAATGGAATATCCAGTTAGAGAAAGTACAGCCTCATCAACAGCAATGATGCACACTTCAGAGTCCTTGATTGGTTCACCAGTGAGTGGATCTCTCACAACAACATCAATGAATGTATCTGATCCTGGTGTTAAATATTCCCTTTCAGGTTTGGTTTCAACTGTTAAAGTCTTGGTAATCTTTGAAACAGGAATGTTGCATGCGCCAGAGGCATATGCTGGTTGTTTTGGCAAATGATCGAGAATGGTTCCAACACCGTCCACTCGTGATTGACTTGATGATACTTCGACAGTGACATTGAAATTTGGAACAAAATCTTCTGTAATGTCAATTTCAATTTCTGTACATCCAATTTCTGGGTCTATGGTTACTGGAATTTGTTTGATCACCTTATAGAGTGAGACAAGAGCAATACCTTCACTTTTTCCGTCATGATTTGATTGAATCAAAAGCTTGGCCTTTTCACCAACTTGATATTCAGACTTGTCTGGAACAATAAGAAGACTGTCCTTTGTAATGTTGCTTCCCAATTTTTCATCTCTTGCTGATCCACCACTAACGTACAAAGTTTTGGTGGCTGAGTTTGAGAGACCTGTTTCTGGGTCAACAATTTCAACCTTAAATGTGTAACAACCTCCTTTTTCAAACTTGACAGGTAGTTCAGAGGGTCCATCCTTTGAGGAGGTGATAATCTCTTCCATAACTTGAAGAGTTTCTTGGGTGTATTTGAATCCTTTCTTGACGCGAGTACTTGTAGTGACTGTCAACTTCATATCAATACCAGACACCAATTTGCCATCAATATCAGTAGTAATGAGTGAAGCTGTGACAGGGATGTTTGGCTTTGCCAATTGTTTGCTAAACTTGATACCGCAATAATATTTGCAAGGGTGAATGAGGAATGAAGTACTCGATGAAATTGTTTGTCGATTGATATCTTGAACGTTTGCTTCAACACTAACTGTGACTGGAACCTTCTTGGTTCTTGAACTTTCCTCAAAGGAAATTGCAATTTGATGCTCTCCATTTGAATCAGTAGTACCTTCAAATGTTGTAGTGGAAAGCAATGATCCCACATTGCTTGATCTAAAAATTCTGTAAAAGTACATGTAAGGATCGAAATCTTCGCCAAACGTGTAAGAAGATTGATTTGGAGGAACATAGGAGGAAGACGTTTGTTTGATCACATACGAACATTTTCCTCCACTAATGCCACCACCAGAATAATACTCTGCCTTGGTTGTACAAAGAGCTGTTCCATTCACAATATAGTTACCTGCTGGAATGCTCGATGAAGACTTAAATTCTGGAGTTCTGAATTCTTGTACCTTGAAACTATGAGTAGTGTTAAATCTACTGAAACTAATACTGTGATCTCCCAAATTGGCGTTATCAGGAACTTTAAATGTGAAATCAAATGTACCAACTTTAGAAATTTCAATTTCACCTTGAGAATACTTTTGGCCTCTAGCATCGGTGACGGTATAGGTACATTTTTGCAGGTCTGGGATTTCCACTGATGGGGATGAATTTTTCAATACGAATTTTCTAACGATACCTTTGATAGAAACCATTTCATTAGGCTTATAGAGACCTCTATCGTTGAAAATGTGAGCAACAATTTCAGAGGTAAAACTAGAAGCATAAAGTGAAACATCTGGAATAAAGCACATATCATTGCCATGTTTAGCAATCAGTTTAGAAGTGCCATTGTGAACCTTGTAAGAGCCAATACCTGTGAGAGGATCAGGAGTTATGTGTGCCATGTGTTTGATAAATTCCACATTTTGTTTGATGATACTACCATCGCTCAATGAATTGATCCAGAAATACAATTCTGGACCGTGTGGATCATAAACGCAATCGAGTGATATCTTTGTGGCTTGTATCCAAGCACAATAAACAGGGCGATGCTCCCATTGTCCTTTCCAACTTGTCTTTGTAGGCTCAATATATACCATTAAATGGCCCAAGTTTTCATTAGGGTATTGAAGATAGGAAGTAAGGTCAATTTCAGTTTCGCAGGGCTCATCTTGTTCTCCCTTGGTGGTCACAACAGTGTCAAGAACAGTCTTTCCTGGGAACCTGTAATTATTGTTATAAGAATTGTAATACAGGACATCAGAAGTGTAAGAAGATGGTTCAACTTGACAAACGACGCATCTAACAGAATCCATATTAACAGTGACAAAAGGGTAAGTGGGTTTCGTGTTCAATGTTGGATCTAAAACAGTCATACCAGTTCTGAACGCTTGCAATGATTGACGAGCGCTGCCAACACTAACTTCTACAGTAGTGTCTTCGAGAGTTTGACCCCAAACATCTACAATACTCTTCAGGAATATCTTATAAGTGGTCCTACCCTTAGTTTTACCTCTAATAGTTAAATAGGATCCAGAAGGATCCAATTCCATTCCTTGAATGGGTGGAGAGACTGTTATCATCGACTCTAAAAACTTATCTTCATCGATGGCATTAGAAAATCGAATGTTGATAGCTGACATTGGCACATCTCCTCCTGTAACTTGTTCCTTGACAAAAGGTGGATAGTTTGGGACATGAATGACAGAATCCTTCACGGATGGCAAAGGTCCCTCTGTTCCAACAACTCCTTTCTTAATGGCAATATCAAAGTTGGAACCAACAGCAACACGGTTATGGGATTGGACATCAATAGTGAACCAGAGGTGTCTAGATTCAGGAGCCGATTCAAGCTTGGACTTGTATGCATTGTACATGGATGGATTTCTCTTGTTTAAATTGTAATCCTCCATCATTTTCTTGATATGTTCCTTGAGGAGAGTATTGCTTGATTTTCCGTCCAAAATCAAACTTGTTTTACGACCTGGAGTGGAAATGAAGGACAATACAGTACTTGGCTCAATCTCTTGATCAAATTCGGCATAGAACACAGGGAATTCGTTCACTGGCATTTGTCCATTCCAAAAAGTGCCAGGTAGAGATTCTTTAAGGTAAAGTCTTGGAGTTTCAAAACTAAATGAAAAGTGATTCTTCAAAACGCCTCCAATTTGCGATGTTGTGTCCTTCTTAATCGAAACAGTATATTTGGTGGACATGTCAAATCTATAGTTGGCCTCATAGACAAGTGTTTTTGTTCCCAACCATTTGAATTTACCTCCCTTCTTTGGAAGTGGTGAAATTTCAACTGGAACTGTCTCATTCTCAACATTGGACACACTAGAGACAGGAACCATTGGTTGTGAAAATGTTATCGTAACAGATGGAACAGAGCGATCTAATTCTCCTTCTGGTGAATAACGGAGAATGGTCAATTCAGATCCCGAAATCTTGGCTTCTTCTTCCTTCAATTCTTTTGGTTTTTCCAATTGAACTTGTGGTGGAAATTCAACTTGAACGATTTCAGCTGTGAGTGGAGGCTTTAAAGATTTTTCTCTATCATCATGACGATGATGAATGGGATCAATTGAAGAATGAAACAACATTCAATAGAGGACAATGACATTATTTGACAATGATCATGAATCCAAACAATGTCATGCGATGATCATGAATTCAAACTTACCTCATGAAAAAATCTTTTTGATCCTCATGTTCCTTCTTGATGGGTGGTAATCGGTTCAACAATTTCTCGGTTTCTTCCATTGATAATTCATCTACAACGTTGGTTAATGTACTTTTGGAGGTTTCCTTGGATTCCGATGAAGCATTCTCCAACAACAAGGCTGCTCTTGTATCGGCCAATGTTGGTTCTCTCACTTGCAACTTTAATGCTTCTTCCAATTGTTCAGACACCTCTATTGGGCTTATGATTGGTCGTTTGCTTCGATGTGGCAATCTCATGATCAACTCGATCAATTCAGAATAATAAATAAATGTTGTTGTTGATTATTTTTTTTCTTGTGAAGATTCAAACAGGATTGAACTTTGGATTTTCTTGAGGACTGACAAAGAAGGTGACCGTCATCTTGAAAGTCCTTGGAACTCCTTTGGTATGTTCATAATAAAGAAAGGCATCACAAAGTGTAACTCTTTTAAACTTAGCAATTTGAAAACAAAAAGATCATTATTGGAGCTCTGGTTTTAAGTCCAGAGCATGTTTTTGGAGTGACAACTATTTGGATGAATGACAATGAACGCTATGGTATTTACAAAATGAAAAACAGATATGAAATGATTATATCAAGTAGAAACTTATCTCACCTTCTCTTTAATTTTGGTTTGACAGAGATCAGAAAGTATTACCGTAATGAATGGAAGATCATTAATGGATTATTCTGTTTCTTTTGGAAATGTTTCCTCTCTCAACACTAACATTGTAAATTGGCTCTACA